TAACAAGCCGCACGGTTGAAATGACTAAAGCTGTAGCATATAATTACCCCCCGTCCCCTCACAATGAACACTCAGCAGCACTCAGCAGCCCCCACTGCTCTGTAATATTCACGGCTCATTATCATGCAGGCACCTCCCCTCCGGCGCGGTACCTTGGCGCGGTCGATGTTCACGCCGCTCATGCTCCTGCTGCGGTCTACGAGGAAGATAAATTCTCCCTGGGCTTTCCGGAGGTCTGGCTGGACGGTCCTCAAGTCGGGGCAGAAGTTGAGCATGACGACGGGATGGTGGGGGATGTCCTTGTTCAGCCGCTTCCTGATAATTTCCGTCTGCAAGAAAGAAGGAGAGAGTTCGAGGGGCAGATTTTTTTCTGCCCCTTTGCACTTAGAGCAGGGCTGTGTGCCTGGGGATGGAAGTGTGTGGCTTTTTGGGGGCTTGTTGTGGCCTCAGTGGTGACACCAGCTGAGCTCAGGCCGTGCCTCGTGTTGTTCTGTCCGTAACCCCTACAGAGCTGCTCTAGGGTGAAGGGACCTCCTGCCTCCTCCTGGGCACGAGGGGTCAATGGTTGGTAGAAAGCCTAAACCACAGACTCCCTGCATGCAGAGAAGAGAGCCTGGAGGAGAAATTAGAAGATCTGGCCCCACACAGCAGCTTGCAAAAATGAATCTCCAAATATTTCTTTAGATTCCTCCTGAAAATCCAGTTCATGAGTGCAGCTTAGCGTGACACCAAGGTGCACCGAAGGTTTTGCCCATGGTCACTCAATAACAAAGTGCCTGATACCGCCCTCAGAGTGCTCTGTTCACCGCTTCGATTCATTTCTGCCACCTCGGGTTTGCTGGGTTTTCTGCCCATTTCTCTTCCCACTTTGCTTTGCTCGGATTGAAACACTTTGCAAAGCCGAAATGGTTGCTCAAGACATCGTTCGATAGGAACCGGCGTGATGTACGTCTCCGTGCTGCACACAGCTCTGGTGGCTCTCTGCATTCTCCCTCCTTCTATTTCAGGTATCCATCTTCATTAAAAACGTGGTACAATTAAACTGGGGAGTGGGGGGAAGCCCATTCCTCTTGCGATGGGTTTATCATGTGTGCAGGAAGCAGTCCCAGGTGCAGGGTCCGCATTGGTGCTTTCGAGGACCTCACAGGGGCACAGCCCGCGGCCCTTCAACCCCAGGGCTGCCGCACCGAAACACACTCTGCCATGAGCAGAGGCTTTCCTTGCCTCATTTTTTTTCCCTTCTTGTTTCTGTTTCTTGCTGGTTTCACCAGGGGTAAACCAGACCCCAAATGACCAGGCTTGTTTTCTCCAGCCGTGAGTCATATTCCTAGATCTACGAGTTAACGACCGACCTCTATTTTACATAACGCGCTAAACTCCAGCAGATCGGGCTTCGCTCGTGGCTGCGGTGCCAGAGCGCTGCTCCCTCGACCCCTGCGAAAAGACGGTTCCTGTTCACAGAAACAAAGGTGTCGTTCATCCTCCCGCATCCCACTCTCACACTTTGGAGCACAAATTAACCAGTCCCCGGGAAATCGAAGGGCTTTTTCCATCCTCATTTTCCTCCAGCCATACGATATCATTTTGCTGAACATCTTTCCCAGAACATTGATCAAAATTCAGACTAAAGGGATCCTTGCTGCCTCTCTGTCGTGCCAAGCTCCCTGGGATGCTCTTGGGACCCAAGAGATAAAACCCCTGCATGATCAGGATGAGCCCAAAGCCTGGATTTCCCACTGACTTCCTAGTGAATTTTACAGGCAAGGCTTGGCTAAACAGCCTCAGAGCTGCTGCTGCAGGTCAGCCACAAACGCAAGCATCTCATCCGCACCTTCTCTTCTCCTCCCCTCCGTTCCCCTTCACCCGTTATCCAATTTCAGCACACTAATCAGATCTTGTCGGCCGAACGCCACTTCCAGCACGCGTTCGTCCCCACCGCCCTGCTGGCTGACGGGCATCCAAGGCTTTTGCATAACCAAACTAAAGGAGAACTAATTATCATTTAGCGTTGGAATTTCTGGGCTAATTTAATTTAAGCCGAGAAGTGCCTGGTGTCATGCTCTGAGCATCTCTGACAAGCCCATTTTCTACCCCAGATATCCAGGATGCTTTCTCTCCTTTTGACCATCCCAGTGCAGTTGCTCCCCAGACTCGCTGGGGCAACGACGTTGGTTTCCTGCAGGGAAATGGCTCCAGAACGATCCCCGCACCCCCCTTAGACAATTTGACGTGCTAAAGGCACAGAAATAATTAGAGAGCCATCTGAGCTGTAGCGTGGGAGGTTTCATCTCGTTCCACCTGCCACACGCTGAAACACAATTAGAAGAGGAGCCTGCCGTGTGAGCAAGCGCAGTCCCGAGCCATGAGAGAGCGAGAGTGCAGGGCAAAAAGGAAGAGCCACGGGCTGCCATGTCTCCGGCAAAATCGCGGCGGCACAGGGAGGCACCTCTGCAGCAGGTTGGGGATGTCTGCCAGGCAAGGGCCCAGGCTCAGACCTGCGGAGAATGGGCTGAAGGGGAAAACGAGCATCCCCGGTTGCAAAGGAGAGCGTGGCGGGCTGTGACAGCGAGCCCTGTGCCTCGGGTGAAGGCGCCCACCCTGGAAATTCAGAGGGCTCTGGCTGGTCTGCCCCTCTTCCCCAGTCCCAGACACACTGATGTGGCAGCTCAGAAGTGCTGGGCTGTCACTCAGTGCTTCAGAACTGCTGAAAGATGAGGCACAAATCCCAGAGCAGATTTTTTTTCTTTTTCCTATTTGCTGATCAGCAGAACAAAGGGAAGTTTCTCCTACCTTGCCTTCAGTTCAGCTCATTATTCCAAGCAAAATCACTTATTTCTCTCTGACAGCTATCCAGAAACCGTAAACATTTACTGAGCAATTAAAAGAATATTTTATTCTATGTCACTGCAATAATTATAATACCCTTAATGCTGTAACAATGTACCTATCTAATTATGCTATGCTAGACTGGTACTAATTATACACACAATAACCATCTCAGAGCTTCTTCCACACCCAGTTTATCAGAAGCACTGCAGAATTTTCCCCTCTCCCCCCACACAAGCCCCTCTCTGAGGGAGGATGCTGCAGAGCTTATTGGACCAGCGTGATATCTGGTACTTGCAAGCATTTGCTTGCTCAGATCCAGCCCCGAGGAAAGCCTCGGCAAACACCTGCAGCTTTTGTTTCTCACCTTTTTCTCAGCACTGGGGTCTTTCTTAGTGCCTTTAATGAAATCGTTCTTCCCCTTCAGGTGTCGTTCATACTCTGCAGGAGTCATATCACCTTCTTCCATTAAGATGTGAGGCATGTGGGGCTCTGGAAATACAGAGATTCAGGTGATGAACGGCCTTAGCTAAACTTTAGGTTTGGCAGAGCACCCTCAGTCGTGAAAACGGAGCAATATCTCTGAGCCTGGGCAGTAGGGACAACCCTGAGAAGGTCCAGGATGATCTCTCAGGAAGCCCAACCCCTGATGACACTTGCGAAACCAGAGCTAACCCAGCTGTCCCCAGCACCGCAGAGGAGGGTCCCAGGAAGCGGAAAGACCAGCCGAGAGGAAGCGGAGCCCACCTACCACTTGGGTGGATCAAGATCTCCACGGGTCTGTCGAAGGTGTGTTTATCGGCCAGTGTGATCACGATGCTCTTGGCCGAGCGAGCGGAGGGGTCAGCGTCTGCTCGGATCTTGTGCGTCGGGCTCTCGACACCTGCCCAGGGAAACCAAGGAGCGTTAGGGACAGGGGATAGGGAAGACCAGGGAGAGGAGACAGCACGATGGCAGAGGACAGGAACCGAGCTGACTCTTCGATTAACAGGTTAACATCGGTGCTGTACTGGCAAATCTGCCTCAGCGCAGTTAACTTGCCAAAACAGGCTTGACATCGGGGAGGCAAAGAAGGAAGAGTGTGGATGTTGCCCTGAGGCAGTGACAAACCAGCCTGGTGCTCCTACCTGCCAGCAAGCACGGCCCCCGGATCTCCAGGTGGAAGCTAAACTCGTACTCGAAGGGGTTGGTGGCCTCAGTCTCCAGCAGCTGAGCCAGGCACAACCTGCTCCCTCGCTCCGGGCTCCCCGATCCACAGGAGTTCTTGTCCCTGCCAGCGAGATGAATCCCAGTGAAAGCTGTGCACGTTTCCAAT